TACCCTGCCACCATCACTTTAGCAGTATATGGAGCTATTTATACATGCAGGAACAGTATTTCTGCCACCACATCCCCAGAGTGTTACCTCTGGCTGTGACGTGACACTGCAGCCACAGCTGGAGCCACCTCCCCAAGGGCTGGGAATATGAGGGCACTGAAGACCACAGCCCATGGCAGCTGCAGGGGGGGCACAGAGCCTCCCCAGGGCCACCGAGTGCAAAATCATGGAGAAACTCTCCCAGAGAGGAGAATTCTATGATTCTATGAAAAGGTTGTCTTAAAAATTCCCTGTGCAGTTTTAAGAAAGACATCCACTGTGCACAGACACAACCAACCTCACTTATGGCATCATCTCCTATTTTATGTATCCTCAAAGGCCAGTTGCAGACAGATGTGCTTTCGGTGATTGGCATCTTAGTCTACCATTGATTATTAATCAGCAGACATGCTGTGGCTAAATGCAAGTAAAAACCAATTTAAATATAATTTTTCCCCCAAAGAGTATTTGCAGGGTCATATTTTGCCAATTTCAAATAATATATTGAAATCACTTTTTGCTTTTGGAAATAATACCTCATTTTTCAGGTATTAAATGAACTTCACTTTTCTTTCTTTGGTGATATAGTCTTGGTTTTGTAATAGCTGGATGTTAGAAATGGAGAAGCTTAGCACAGTTTACTGAGGTAAGGTTTGCTCTGATTCAGAATAGTTTGGTAAGGGATTCCAGCACAAAGGTGAGGTAAATCAATACACATCACCTGCAATAAAGATAAGACTTGTAAGCTGATAAGGGAAAAGTAAATCCTGTTTTAATGTATAAGAAACTGCTGAAGAATTTGTATTTTTTTTTTTCACTAAGTCATGTGAGGTAACTATGTTGTTTAGAACTGACAGATGCCTTTGAAGCTTTTTATCCGGATCAGCTATCTTGTAGAATCTTCTTAAGCTAAATAACAGATTCTGTACTAACATCACTATCTACACAAGACCTCAGAAGTATGTAAAGACTGCCTTAAAGCAAGGAAGCTGATTCCCAAATTGTAGTCTCACAAATCACCAAAATCACCTCGGCATACCCTACAGCCAGCTTGTTGGTAGCCTAATGCTTCTGTTCTTCATCTTTCAGACTCATAAGAGAAACAGCTTTACTATATTCATTATTACAGTATCACTTCTTCACTTAATAGTACCTGTCACAGGGATGCTGCGTGATTTCTGAGTAGGAGGGTAATGGCCAGAAAACCCCCTATGTTTTACTCAAAAGAATTTGGTAATTCCTTCTGAAACTGTCTATTTGAATATCATTAAGGACTATTAAGCTTTCAAGTTACTCTTTGAGTCTCTCAAACTTTATGTTAGAACTTGGAAACAGGAACTCTTAAGCATGTCTTTCCTCCTTTGTTATGATATTAAAAGGACTTGAACGTAAAATGAAAAAAAACCCCATATAATATTTTTACTATGACTTGAAGAAGGAATGGTGTTTCACTGCTCTGCAATTAAATCTAACTTTAATGATTTCTCATAGTTTGCAACCAAAATCTGGTTTTCACTTCTAGCACAGCTTTGGCATTTAAAGCACATGTATTTTTGTACTTGTTCATTCAATCATCAAACTGTGCAGTTTGCTATGAAGATATACAACCTGAAATATCATTAGCACTGACTACAACAAGCTGTATTGTGTTACCTTGTTGAATATGGGCACATTACTGGCCAGCTTTTCTGCAAAAAAATTCAAATAAAATTGAAGCATCATATCTGTTGCCAACGTAAATATAAATAAGTAGGAACAGAGACTCAAATAAACTGTGACTAACTGCAAAGTAAATGTAGGTCTGAATTTATTGCCATGTTTAGAATTTATTAGTTGTCTGTCTTTAACTTCAGAAATTCAGCCAAGACATACACACTTAAAAATTACACTAATTCCTGGTAAATGCCTGGGTAAAGGAGTAGAATATTTGTGAAACTGGGTCTGTGAAAGCCACTAACTCCCCTGCTAGGACAAAAACCAGGTTCTGAATCATGACAGTGATGTGCAGACCTTGGAAGGTCTCATGAAGGCTCACCACTGCCTTGGATGAGGCCAGGGTTTAACCTCAGGAGTGTAAGAGGTCTACAAAGGAGTTCAGGCAGTGGAGAACAGGTGGCATTGCATTGGATCCCAAGAGGTTTAAAAATTGACACGCAGGAGAGGAAGGACAGTTACAGCTGTACACAGATGAACCACATGAAAACAAAATGCTGACAAGTCAAAGATTTTGTGATTTTTAAAAGCAAAGATTCTAATTTTTTTAGGTGCGCAGCAAAAATTAAATTCCCCAGCTGCAATGCTAGCATGGGGCGTATGTGGGGTGGGTTGAACAACCCATGTTAAGGGTATTAGAAATAGTGCTAGGCAAGATGATGGACTGTGAATGTTACAGGCAGATGTGACAGATTAGCTGTATCACTGGGTAGATTTACACGTGTATGAGCTGGTTAATTTGCAACAAATTCTAATAACTCACAAAAAAACCAACACCACCAACACTTCAGGTGGTGTGCTTAAGGAATCATCACTGTAACCTCGGGCTGTCCACAATAACTTAAAACATTCAAACCCTGGATCATTCATACTGGTAATGTGTTACTGTTTTAGACATGCTACTAATGTATAGAAGCATGTTGAAGAATTCAATTCACTCCAAGTGTTTTCAACAGCCAGTAAGAAAGAGTACTTACTGTAGAAAGAATCTATTTCAAAATGACAGGACTCCCCTGTTCTTCTTCCTCTTTTTGACTATAATATGTCAATTTATCAAGAAAATACATTAGTTTGCACAAACTCCTACCTCTTTGGTGGGAAAATAGAGTAGGGATTTATTCTTTCCTCAAGTCTTTTAAGTAATTTATTTTTTTTTTTTGGAAGATTATAGTTTTTTATTTCAGTGGATTATCTAGTTATACTTCACAAGACAATATATTCATGTTTGGGAAAAATACAATAAGCAGGGTTCATTTATTCATCTTCTTCAATTATTTCTGCCAAGTTTATTTCATTGTTCCAGTCCCACAAAATACGAGGAAGTTTTTAAATTAGCAATTTCTTTCTGAAGTAAGACATCCCTGTACTAAAGTACCATGGATTTTATGGACTGGGTGAAATGCTGGTGTCTGTATGCATTCAGAGCACATTTTGAAAAAGTGAACTACTTTGAAAGGAACAAAACCGATATATTCTTTCCAGAAAATTACTAAAAGCTGACCTGTAGCTAAAAAAATACCACATTTACTGACAAGGTGATGTGCACTACTGAGGTACTTTGCATTGCAATAGTTCACTTACTGCAAAAGTAAATGAACAGCTAAGGTATTACCTCAGGAATTTATTTTTTTCATTTCTGCATTTACACAGGCACTCTTCCATCCAAGTGGCAGGTAAACTCTGGAGTAAACTGAGATAATAAAATTCTTGACTGTTTTAGTAAAAATATCACAGCTGAAACATCCTCTTCGAGCAACTAAATAGAAATCATGTATTTTGAAAAAGTTAGGGACATCATTAGGGAAAAATAATCCCAGTGAAACCATCAGCATTCCCCACTGGAATGTGCAATTACAGCTCTGCTCCTGCTGAGGTCATAATTACTGTTATCCATAGGGTGGTGGTTGTATTTACCTTCCTGTCATTAATTCACAGGCTGCCTTTGGATTGGACAGTGAAAGACAACCCCACTCCTACGTACAACATGACTGCTACAGTGACTCTCCAGCATGGGGAAGAATTCATAATCTAATGAATGTCATTACAAAAAAGAATTAATTCTAACACGAGAATTCTTCTAAGAAAGTTCATGGGATCTTCAAATCCAACAGCTGCTCTCTGTGACTATTTTAGCCTATGCCGACAAACAAAAGTTGATGAACAGAAGATTGCTGAACTGGCCTGAGTGTCTCTTTATCATTTCTCCTCACAGTTGTGTTGAAATAGACACAGAACTCCAGTGTTATGCAATTTTCTCTGATTTCTCTGATATAACTATCTTATGCAGCTGATATAGGGTAATTAAAGAAGGTGGTATATTATCTGCATTTGGACACATCTGAATGATTTGATAATTAGGAAATTTCATACTACTTTGAAAAAAGAAAGGAGATTCTACCAAAACTCTGAGAAATTCCCTCCTTTCTGGATTTCTACTAAGCTTGTGTATTAACAATTCATATCCAAATATAGTTTAAAAATTCTGTTAGCATACTAACACATCCAATGAGTGCTGAATTTTCCTAAGTGAGGTTGAGAAGAGGTAAAATTAAAGGAAAAGCTTAAAATGTTGTAGACAGCATTAAAATCTACTACCAACAAAAAAAAAGTAGAATTAAGAAGGAGCCTGAATTGCAGAAATGTTATGAAGTAAACAAACCAACAAACCTCCACAGCTTATCATCATAAACAGTCATGAAGTGCTGGGGCTGGGGAGTGCAAGTCAGGAGGTAGAGAGGATATTTTTTTCTGTGTTACACAATTGCTTGAGTGCTCCAGGCACATGAAAGCTTTATCCAGGTGTGCTTTGCATCAGGAACATGACTTTTATCTGTAGATTCTATGATTTAGCAGAGTTATGTCCCTTGGAAAAGAAAATATACCTGTTTCCTACAGGACAAAGCAAGGCAAGGTAATGTTTTGCATTAGATGTGATTGTGTTTGGTTTTCAGTATTTGATCACTGGGGCGAGAGGGAGTGGGAAGCATGAAAGTACACAGTCAGTAGAGTCTGGGCAGAGGAAACAGTACAGACTACAGAAACAGCAGACTCCCACCAACCATGAATTTTGGAAGGTTTTGGCAGCTTCTGCTTTTCCCCTCATGCTTGAGAACATTTCAAAGGCAGGATTACAAAGGAAGACATCACATGTTCAGTTCGAAACTGTAACTGGGGCTCCGGGGAGCGGAGAGGGGGCAGGTACAGAGGCAGCGCATGCTGTTTTTCAGGATTCACTTCAAAGCACTTACCTTTATACCTCTCTATGCAGGTAAGGATCACAGCCCGGCAGATGATCCACCGCCTCTCCATTTAGACAATAAGGAGGAGGATTAGTTAACCTGAGACTGCATTACCAACCTGTGCCTCTGACCTAAATACCACAGTTAAGCAACAGTGTTTTGTGAATGTAGGACTTCAGGCAGGAACTGGACTGATACAAACCTGGCACGTGACAGCCTTTGCTCTAATCAAGTGCTTTATAAACATGCAGCTCCCATCTTGCACCTATGAATTATGAATTTCTCAATATATCCAAGGGATAAGGTTGTCACATACCAGAAACCCGAGATCACAGAAAAGACCAAAGTAGTATCACCTCCTTAAAGCAATGTGACTAAAGACTTGCATTAAACCTCCTACTCTTTCGCTGTTCCCCTGGGAGGATTTTCTTGGCTAGAAACCCCTACTACATACTGATCAAGATGTTCTTACCCAGTGGCATGCCTAGAGTGCAGATAAGAAAATACTGGAAAAAACCCCATAACCAACCTCCAAAGTAAACCAGAGTCGGCAACAACAAAATGCTCAAACCCCTGCCTTTACAACTGTTTGAGAATTTAAATACTTGCATTGGCAACTACTTTCCACCATTTAAAACTTCATCTATGCCAGTAAAGTAGAGAAGGGAAGAGAAGAAAACTACCACTATTTGGATATTCCTTTTGCTGAGCCTATCATCTTTGTTAATAGCCTCTAATGAATAACTCACTCAAGGATAAACATGCTAGCACTATTATTTTGTCAGCAGAGTCAGTATGATTCAGAGGAGAGCAGTCATATGACTGTCACAGTTTCCAAATTGTCAAAACCTGTGGGAAAACAAAAATTAGTAGCTGAGAGAGAAGCTTAACTCTCACTACTGCAAACAACTCAGCAGCCTGTCCCTAACTCAAAATACATACACACAAACTTAAAAAGGAAATATTACTATCCAACAGAAACTACTCTAGAGCAGACAGGTTTCTCTTGCCTGAGAGGCCTTAGAATGACAGAGAAAATCACTATATTTATTACACCAACTTGGCTGAAGTAACAGTTCTTTGACACACAGTCCCTCTTCTTAGAAGTCTTAAATCATGCTGACTTTAAAAGTGCCAAGGTGGACATTAGGGTGCATCTAGGCATGACAGCTTATGCTTCCTACAGCAGACTTCCCTTTTGCATCCTAGTCTTTTGAAATGAGTGATAACAGTCATCAAAAGTTAAATGTCTGCACACATAGATCACTGCCCTGGCCAGAGGACTGGAACCATTCCTATAGAAGCCACTGACATCTGGTTTCCAGAATTCGGAACTGTTTTTTTGACCTCTTGGGGTCAAGACAAGCTGATTCTAGTAATAAATTTTACTACCTTATCAAAGGCCCCTTTGTGTAAGTTTGTGTGACAGGGTTCTACAGCTCTGGAGGGAGGAATGTTTACCAGCAAGCAGCAGGCTGAGGAGATTATTACATGCTGAGAAGCAGCATGTGAAAGTCTCCGAGGACTGGTAAGCTCTGGAGACCAGTTGTTCTGTTAAATCCACCAGAACTGATAAATTCAGAACACCAGAAGCCTGCTGGCTGTGTACACAACCACTACCCACATCAGTATCAACCATGGGGTGCATTAACTTGGATCATGTACAAGCAGGTAGTGCCTGTTACGTGCAAACAAAACCCCTACAGGATTATATATACACACCTGATGAAGCAAAGGGCTCTTCAAAGGACTTTCTAAACTACCTACCTTAGATTCAGAGGTCCCAGAGGTGGGGCCTAGCCTCCCAGTTGTTACTCCTACAGAGCAATTATGAGTGTGTAAGTGAATGTGTTGTGTGAATAGTCATCTGCTATTAGTAACAGCTCTAGGAACAAAAAGCTTTCTGTTTGCTGTGATGCGTACGTCTCCCAACTTGATCTGCTATCATGGAAAGGGGAATTTACAGAATCAAACATCCAGCTACATTTTCAGTTATTTCTTGGCAACACTAATCCCCTGTTCCTAGGACTGTTGCTGCCACTGATTTCATCTGTCACATGACTTGCTCAAAAAAGTACTTGCAGAACTCACTTTATGCAAGATCTCATTTCCAAGACTTTCCTGGAAGTCAGAAAATGGAACTCCAACTGTTCATGATAGAAACATTGTTAGCCAATCTAACGAGTTTTTGCTAATCTGCACAATTTGGACTCTTCATTTGAACACCAGCATGTGCAGAAATCAATCATCACAATAGACCAAATAAATAGAAGGTTAACACCTTTAGTTGCTTTTACTTCTGAAAGGCAAGTTTAGGAAAGGAAATACTTCTAAACAAGATTCCTGCTGATGCTACTTGAAGATAAGATTCTAGAGAGCCTGAACCTTTGTTCATGCCTGCTCCATTTTTCCATTATTCCTGGCAAAAAACCACACATACCAGCATAAACCTTTCAAGTATTTCAAGCAGACCTTTGGCACATAGAAGTATTTCCCATGCATATGCAGTACACCTACCAATTGCATCACTACCACTGAAAGTTGTGCCATTATTAGTCAGTTGGAGAACTACTCCCAGGAATCTTAGAGCTGTTAGGAAAGCTTTTAATGATCTCATCTGACGATATGCAAACTAAGCATTAATGCCTCAGGAAAGACTCTTTAGTAGGAACATGTTGTTGTATGTGCTACTATTCTACTCTAATAATTTCACTTCTACACTTCTGTGATTTTGCTGTTTGCTTCTTTAAAGTAACAACTCCATGGAATTACAAACTGGCAATTTCGGTACCTAGCAGCTTCTTTTCATTTGTCCCATTTTACTAGATCAATACAGGGATGTGAACACGTGGAAGTTTCTCTTTAAAGACAGACAGATAAACATGATGGTTATTACAACATGAGGGCAGGTTGCTACAGTAGTGCTAATAAAAATCATCTGCTGGACTGTTTACACTGCTTTGCATAAACTCCTTCAAGTGCCCTGAGCTAAACAGTAGCTTTGTTGCTCTGAAGGTTTCTGCTTAGATGGCTTAGCAAGGTCTTGCCCTTTGCTGCAAGCTACAGGATTGCACTTTTAAGATTTTTCACTTCATTTAAGTGTTTATAATCAGGAACTTCTGGAAATTCCAATGACAACTGACTGCCAAGCCCTCAAAATGAGCTCTTATGCTTTGACTATTGCCTGAACAGAACTGTGGCTTAACAAAGAAAGTTGGGGTTTTTTTAACAATTCTTTCTCATCCATTAAATACTGAGTTTCAAATATCCATGACAATTTCTTAAGACATTCTTGGCATTTTAATGGAAGATTTCCCTTCTATATAGCTAAAAAAGAGTCATTTAATACTTTGAGTATCTCAAAAGTGAAGCTACATCGCTAAAATGGGTTGAACTTATAAAGCACAGTGTTCTCTCATTTACTGTTTTTCTAGCTAGTATTTTGCATTTAATGTACATTGGTTCACTCCTGTTGCCAATATGAGAAGGCATCTTGGACTGAAAAACATCATCACTTAGATGTGTGCTTCTAGAAAACACACATTCAGAAGTTGAACTTTCTGATGATAAAAAAAGACATAAAATTATTCTGAAACATCAGTATTCCTTTGAGTCAACAAATATCTTCCATTTTTCCTGCCAAACTTTTATTGTCAGAGAGAGTGCATGTGGGAGATATTAACTATTAAAACTCTGTTTGTAAGGAAAATGAAAAGCAAAATTTTGACAACTTCAGAAAAATAGTGACAAACATTAGCAACGTTTTACTTATGTAAAGCAGAGATAAAAGGAAGCAAATTACTTTTCTGCCTCTCATGAATCTGAAAATGGTGGGAAAAACTGATTAAAAAGTTACTACCTCAGCAAGTAGTACAGGCAGTTCTCTTCCTGGATGCATAGGCAGTGTCTTGTTCAAACCAGAGAAGGGAGGAATAATAGGCAAAGCTGCCCATTATTATTTAAACTACTTGAGATAGGCCAAAACCACTGAGCAGCCAGTATCAGCAGACAATCATTTGACTCTGGGATTGAGCAAACTCATCTTCTGACATTGAAGGTCAGTTAATGCCCAAGGAAGGATTTACCAATGAGATTAGCCCGACCTCCCAAACCTGAAGCAGTTTTATTATAAAGTGAATCTTCATGAGTTCTTGAAATCTGGTAAGAGGCCTAATCTGGTTCTCCAGCTCCAATAAATACTCCATAATCTCTCAGATCTAAGATCAGATAGGGCTGAAAGGTACAATCAGAGTCTTCTTCCTCAGGTGGTATCACTAGAAATTATTTAAAAGGTTTGATATATCATGAAGATAAACTGCCTCTTCTTTGAATTAGAATGTCAAACTCCACACTCAAACTATGAATTAAAATTGGTTGCATAGCTTAGATCTTTTCTATATTTGTCTTAAGATTTCTTAAAAATGCTTAAATTTTACCTGTGTAAACAGTCATCTATCAGGTTTAATAGAACTGTTTTAAAGAGCACATGCTTATTATTTTTTTTATATAAAATAGTTCATTTATAGTTCAAGAATTATGATTTTAGAGTAGGACTTATTAAAAAATACCTTAAAATATATTTTCAAAATCTGTAACAAAATGACTCATCAATCTTTAATATTAAGTTCTTGGCAAAGCAGCTACAAATCATCAATCAAAATACCAGTATTTATCTGTAGAAATAACAGAGCTTTAGAATACAATGCAATATAAGTACCCATGAAAATATAAATATTATTTAGTAGTATAATTTTAATAAAAAATTTAAAAAATAAATTTAGTCAATCATTTCTAGGACTTGCTCAGTCTCCACACAATCATATCTGAACTGAGCTGAGCTTCTGCTATTTTCAAAGCAATTTTCTGGTAGAGGGCACCATTCATAGTTTGATTCATACTTAGCACACACTCTTCCCGCTCATTCTGAAGCTTCTTCCTGAACTGCTGAACTCCTTCCTCAGTGTCCAGTAAAGAAGCCAGAGGAGCATTATTGATTTTCTTGCCAGCCTCATTCCCCCATGTCAGACTGTTTTCAGCCTTACTTTCTTTTGAGAAGAAAGAACTCTTCGAGGTGAGCATTTCTTTTTCCAAAGCCAGTGCTAACTGTTCAGTAAGTACACTTTTTCTTCCAGATCTCAGGAGTTTTACACGGCAGCTTGGTGGGAGAACTCTAGTAAGGCTATGAAGGCACTGGAACACGATGGTCAGATTTCTGTAAAAGAAGATGATGATGATGATGATGATGATGATGATGATTATTATTAATATTATTACTACCTTATATCTTTAATATTCCACAGTGGAAAATAAAACAAAGCTACTGGAAAACAAAATAGAAACACTTATGCTGATTATGGTTTTAAGTATTGTGTGTACTTTACATACAAGAACAAGCATTTAGAGGCAGAAAAAAAAAATCACTTATTCATTGATTGTCACTATCAATAGGTATGCACATGACTGTTAGGTGGCCTACAGCTTGTCTTTCTTAAACAGAGGGTGAAAGTTGCACTTAAAAATCAGACATTCAAAATTATCACGAAAGCCAAATAAAAGTGCTGGTAATCATCAGGAAACCTACTCTCCTGGATACCACTGTAGCATATACGACACAGGGACATATCCCTTGTTCTAAGAGAAATGCAGAGTTTGTTAAAGTCTTATTCCTGGTGTTTGCCCTCATAAACAAAGAAAACCTCAACCCAAAAAACCGAAAAGCACCCTGAAATAGTGAGTTTTCTCACACAGATCAGAAAGATGTCTTTCCTTGAAGTACTTCTATTTCAATTTAGTTATCTTAACATTCCACTACTTGTAATGTATAGTTTATTTGGTTTCTGAAAGGCTGTGAAAAAAAGAATAGTCTGTAGCTTCCACCTATCACAGAAATATCCTAGCTGGATAAAAGGTCAATACAAAGACAGGAAAAAAAGATACAGAAAGTACAATCATAGTTACACCATAAACATGCAGCTCACTAACTATTAGTGCAAAACAGGATCAAAGGTGAATAGCACTAAGTAAATTAACTTTTCAAAAGGAACCAAAAGTCTTGAGACTTAAAATTTTACTGATTGATCTCTTAAACATTTCAGTCTTTCCTATTACATAAAGGAGATCAACTCCTAATTTGGGTAAAAGACTGAACCTCACTATAAAATACAGACTCCTAAAAGTTATACCTTTTTTTAATTCTATTTTTCAGCTTGAACTCTTCAGGACAGCAACATTTGTCAATATTCAAGAAGTACTTTTTATGTTATAAGCCTTATCCAGCTAAATCATAAATTATGGCAGTACTACTAACTTGCTTAGCCTGGTTCAGGAAATTTTAAAAACATTCCTCCAAGAATCTACATAAGAAATGAAATCACTGAGAATCTTCCGATTATTTTTTTTTTCATAATAATGGCAGGTAGGAAATAAATATAGCAGAAACTTGTACAAAATGAGACTAAATTTATGTTGCAGTACTAAAATAAAAAATGACCTAGCAATACATTTAAACTTAGTATAACTTGGTGTTTGTGGTTTGGTTGGGTTTTTTGTTTTAATATCCCCTTAAAGATTTTTCTTTTAATCAACACATGTTGAAGAAAAAATTATATATTATACTAAGAATAAAGTAAAAAAAAAATAATAAAATTAGGACGCAGCAAAATGAAGAGAAGAAATAGCACCAAGCAGATACTACTGGAGAGTAGATTTATTTGTAATTCCAACTAATTCTAAATGATGTTCTAACCTAGACAAAATTAAACAATACAGTTCAGGTTCTGCCGTAGTTCTGATCTGAAAATAATTCTCCTATTGCTGATTGTTATCATATCATCATATTGGAAGCCTATTGGTTATGATTTTGGTTGCTGTTTATGGTATCAGTAGGAAACAGTGTAAAGACTAAAAAAGCATTGTATGGAATGATGAATATATGCTATGCTTCGAGTGAATTTACCTGCAAAATATTGTTAGAACCCCTTCAAATGGATTTTTCAGGCTCCAGTTAAAAACTGTACCATACACATTTCCTGCTTTATGACAGAATATGTTGCCATGACATTCCTTAAAAGGTGTGCATTCCATTTCTCCCAGTAACCACGAATTTACTGGAGTCAATGTGCAGTCAGAAGACATAATCTGAAAGGAGAATCTGACAGCTGTTGCAAGGACAGCAAGTATATCTTCCATGGCACCTGCAAGAAAATACAATGAAAAGATATTTGACCCAAAAATTTTGATCATGCTGCATGCATTAAATGTATTTAGATTTTTGGCTCATACTCCTAGTTTTTCATGAAGCATTTGCACCTGCATTCAGGTGTTCTTTGGGAATTTTCTTCTCACCTAAATTCTTATACCTACTTCTGTCAAGCAAAACAGTTGATTAATGGAGCACCACCAATATAATGAAAGCTCTTAAGATAAACATCACCTTGCCAAAAGAAGGCTATTAACAGCCTCCTGGGATAGTCAGATGATGTCAGCTTTAGCAATGATACAGCATTAAAGGAAGAAAAATTAAAATTCATTACAAACAATCAAAAGGATATTTCCTTTCGTGAGCGAAAGCTCAGTTAAAAAAATCAATTCAATCAGGAATATTAAAAGAAAAGAAAATAAATGACCATAAAAGACATGTAGATGAGGAAAAGTTTCAATTACTTTGGTATTATTTAAGAGGTAATACTGTGTCAGAAAAAACCTCATGTATATATATTATATATATATATATAAAATATATATAATATAATATATAATATATATATCTCAGCATTCTGTACTCAGACACCTTCAAAATTATCCTTTCCAGATACCCTTCAGCATCAATGCTAGCACAAAACCCTACAGCAACTCCATTTTGAAAAATGTTCCATCTCATATTTCACCTAGCTTTTAATTCCCAAAAGGCCTATGCAGTTCGTGTTCAAAGAGACAGATGTGATTACACGTTGGAAACTTAGTTTGGCATCACCTAAAATAACCAGAAGAATCAAATACATAAATATTTATGCATACAAGGTATATAAATCTATTTACCTGTACAGTAACTATTATCCCTGAACATCTTTACTGAAAATCTTCCATTTGAAATATCTTCCATACTTAACAAAATTTTCCCACAGAGCACAGTAATCTGTTTGCTCTCCTGTAAACCATCATTCCCATGTTTTCGCCTCTTCGCATGTAGAAGAACTGCACAGCAGACACGATGAAACGCCAATAAAGGTGAAAGGTTGGTAACAGCAATGACTGTCTTTGCTCCATCCAGATGAACCCCTGAAGGTCTCTTAGGAAACTCTTTTTTCAGATCATCCTTGCTATGCAAGTCCAATTTAATCTTTTTCGGAGGCGGCTGAATTTGACATGAGGAAACAGCCAATGCTGAGAATGCCTTGTTCAGCTTAATGATTTTACTTTGACACTTGATAACTGGAGAAATTGAAGAGAAGTCTTGATCCATCACTAAAGATAAGCTGACATCATTCAGTGACCTGTGAAAATCCATACAATACGACTGCACTCCCAGTTCATATTTTTGCCGTCTGACACATAACCATAACTCTGCAGATATGTACAGACATTTAAGACTACCACAAATTCCAATACCATTCCAGGTTAAGTCACAGAGTGGGCAAAGAGTATAAGTCCTTCACATGACTATTTCATCTAAGCTTAGTATAAAGATTTTCAAAACGTGGACTGAATTTTCAAATAGCTTTTAGGAGTTCGATGCATCACTTCAACTGAAAGAATTTGGATGTTTAATTCAGCCAGAAAAGGTTGAAAATTCTACATAACCTATGCAGATACTCTATGACATTCATAAATTATTTTTAAAGATTTAACTTAAGTTTCAACAAAAAAATGCAGAAAGTATCAATTCTGCCCTTTTGAGGACTAAAAGCCCTTCTGATGATCTATATTTTTATATATATTAAAATAAAATTGAATGTAGAGTAAAATAAAAGGTTTAAGATACCATTACCTTAAACATGCAGCAATTTCCTGAAATGTATGAAGTACTTTATTTATTCAACACAGGGCTGTTTCAATGAAATCCTAATATTACTGTTTCAAATCCTCTCTCAATGAATACATTATTCTGACAATCTACTCAATCTCAAGATGTCACTGACATTTGAAAGTCTTATAAATCTCTAATTTTCTTTACAGAGAGGTATTACCACCTCATAATGCAATCTAAGATATCACTGCAATCTTGCATTAGTAGGAAGAACAAAAATAATCTATAAAGAATTTCAGTGTTGGGGATGGAGAGAAAGCATGCCCTTTTCTCCAAAAACACAGGTTGTTGTATTACAGTACTGATTTAGAGTCCAGAAGACCCAGGTTCTGCTGCTAGCCTGCCAGGTAACTTTTGACAAGTGACTTCTCCACAGATCTTTTCTCAACTGTAAAAATAGGGGAGAGGGCTAGATATTGCCACTGGATTTTAAAGTCTGAGGATCTCTGAAGCTATACGAGAATGAATCTTTTAATTTTCAAAACCAAAGTCATCATCATCAATTCTAAAAGAACAAACACTAGAAAGGCAAAAACAATCTCTTGCCTCAGTGGCTCTTAACAGGGGCTGTCAAGAGGACGAGGTCAACTTTTTTGTAAAGTTACAGCAATCTGGCAGTTGAGAAAGAATATACCCACAGCTCCAGCAGAATGGCCAGAGGGTGTAACAGGTCAGCTCCCTCACAACCACTTGAATGATTTTCAGTGGCATCAGTAGTCTTTGAGCCCACCCTAATACAGTCTCAGCTACACTGCATGTGGGAACATGGGTCAAAAGGCATGTTCTGACTCCACCAAAGTTTACATTACACAATGAACATTGTAAATTTATGTTTCATGTAATCCTGTTTTTTCAACCTGTGTTGCAAATGAGTTCTCTCTCTGTCAGGGGGCAATGACATAAGCAGTATTTACAACTGAACTGAGTAATTAAAATAAACAGAATAAACAAATAATTGTAAAGATGATAATAAGAACAAACAAATTATTTTGAAGGTTTGAGTATTGTATGGCTGATCATTCTATTGTTCTACATAATTTACACAATACATAAGCTTTGCAAATACTTTGACTGGATACTTGACTAGAATAGTCAAAACCTAAGTACTTATTAAGTTGATGAGAGAACTTAGTATGTTTTCTTTTGTGCTTCTTCAAGTAAATCACTCTTTAGGAATGGCAAGCAGTTAACAGTAAAACATCAGGAACTGTATACTTAAAACAGAGCCTTATTTACAACATATACTGATGTCAGCATAGCTATGTCAGCATGGACTGCAAAGAACCATAATTTTTGTCAAAAAAAAGAGAAAACTTTTGTGAAAAGTCTCTAGTAACTATATACGCACAACTGATTTCTGGCTATACAATGTATTTTTTTGCACAGTGCTAGAGAGAGACAAGCAGCAGCAACAATACTGACAAAGAGACACACAAAGAAACACTTTAAATACATATGTTCAAAATGCGAAAATTCAAAGTTTAAAAATCCACTCTCACTACTGCAGAGCTTAACTTGCATATTCGCTTTCTATAAAACAACCAATGAAATTATTAGATAAATTTATATACTTACCAGTGAAAGGATTCAGTTAGTTTTACTCCAACTACCAAGCTGTCACCCACAACACGCTGCCACAATTTCTCTGTGAAGTGCTCTGGGATTTTAGATGCCAATGATGTCTCTTCACTAAGAGAATGAGGAGGATTTTCTACATCATCCCAGAGAGAGACAAGACCTTCCTTGGAGAAAAACATTTTTTTTAGGTAAATTAAGTAGAGATACTGGTTTTTTTTATACTGCATTATTTCGTGTATTACCACAAATGACTGCTGGAAGAGCTTTTTAGATACATAGAATGAAATATATAAACTAGTTTATTCTCAACAACAGGTTCAAAAGATAGAACTGCATTTTCTTAAAACACATGATATCCTGTAAAATAAAACTCGTTCTCTCCTTGTGAACATCACATATCTAAATCTTGACCTGTCACACAATTAATTGTCCAAAGAAGATTTAAGGTGCTAGAATTTATTCTATATTAGTGCATTTATTTGCTCAACACTTTGTTGTCCAAAGCTGGCTAACTTGAAAGGGACCACAACAGTAACTGAAAGGCAGATCAACTCCATTTCAATTAAACTAGGAGGCTTTTCTGGAGCAACATATTAAGATAACATTTTCCCAACCTCCATCACCTTCTCAGCCCACAGTTCACTCTGCCCCCATTATAAAATCGATTTTTCTCACACAAATCTATGACAGCTCACTTTTTGTAAGATGTTAGATCACAGACAGATATTCAGTCTCTAGGCAACTGTGCCAATTAGGACTGTACACTCCCCTACTGTTTGTCACTAACTCTGTTAGAGGTTACTCCTCCATACAACTCAGTTGTCAGGAGGTATTGTGCACATCAATTTCAAGGAAAGACAAAAGACAACTAAATTCACTCTTACGTACATACATTGGCAAGTTAAGATAATGAACCAAACTTAAAAAGCAGATTAATGAGTTTTGATAGTGGCAACCCCTACTGGTGAAAGTAACAAGTGGTTGAGGGCAGCACCCTCTACAAATGGCTTGGCAGAATTCAGAAGTGATCTGTACCATCTTCTGCATTTTACCTCTTCTGCCTTCGGTAGAATATGGGTTCTTTCTTCAACAAGATCTATCAGTGCTCTGCAAGATTCAAGAATAACCCTCTTTTGGAGTTCTAAATGCTGCTGTAGCTCTCGAACAGAGGTGAAACCTGCCTGTAAAAGATAAAAATGATCATTAGACTTAAGCTTATGTCTACTGCAAAAGAAGAAAGGTTATTGCAGATATCAAAATATTTTTTCAGCTTTCCATTCTTATGCAAGTATCACAAGCCAAGATCCTGGCATTCCTCAAGTAATGTTTCTAAAGAATGTTCACGTCAGGCTACTCAGTTGCTAAGTATGAATCTCGGAATCTTGGTCTCTCAATATTAAATCTAGAGTTTAAGATAAATATGAAGGTAAACTTTATCAAATTGTGTAGATATTCAGGTCTTTCATTATTAATTCTGCTTCATATTTTCACTGATAGCAGTTTCATTTTCTTATCAAGATTTGCATGGATTATTGGTCAAGTAAATAAATTGAAGAGTTGGGAGATTTACAAACAGACATACATGCTGGCTATGTCTCAGTTAAAAAACCCCCAAACAACAAAAACCCAAAACAACAACAACAAAAATACCAAAAAAACAAATTAAAAAGCATGCCAGCACCAGCTTCTCGGGTTTTAAGAAAGCTCCTCAAAAGCTATTATCTGGAAAGCAATATCCTAAGAAGTCCAATGCTGCCAAGGAGTGAACAAACTTACCACTGGAATGCAAAACCAAACTTCCCTCTTCCCCATCCCCTCAGAAAATCCCCAAACCCCCCCAGGCAGGATCACACATAACACCAATACAAGCCTGAATAAAAAAAGCAATTCATGGAAGCAAAGTGATGTCCTCTGCTCAAGCTGCAATGGCAAGGGGCATTTAGAACAAGTAGCACTCAACATGAGAAGTTCTGTAAAAAATTTATCTAACCATGCATCCAAGTACCAGATTCCAAGAAATATTCCAGTGCCAGAAGACAGAAATGAAGAGTTAAGAACAAAGACGAGTCTACAATCCCTTCCTAATTGAGGTCATCAGAATACTAAACCATCATTTACTCCCATTGGAGCCAACTCCTGAATAAACAACTGAGTAACAGAAAGCAAATGGGGAAGCACAGACTGGGAAGTAGTCAAAATGGCCAAAAATTCACTGCTGTGTGCTTGCTGACCAAGCTGACTTTTGGAAGCCCTTTTTCCTCATAAAGCAACACAAGGAAGAGACCTGAAATTTACCACATGGCAAACCCAAGACTGAGGATTGCCCACCATCAACTCTCTCTGGCACAAGGGACAGGCACATCCCTTCTGCTATATGCGAAGATGTACTGCACAACAAGCATAAGAAGTTCCAAGCTTTGCGCTAAGAAACTAAGAAAATAAAACTAGATCACCTTAGAACAGAAAATAAACATGAACATAAAAACAAGGCAGTCCAGAGCCAAACACAACAGAGCTGTGAGTAAATCCAGCATTATAATCCTTACAAAACTGTTAAGTATTTGGGGAGGACAACAGACCAGTGGACATAAAGATACTTCTGACTTGTGGTATTTCTGCCAAAACAACCAACTAAAACCATGAGAAACCCTGTAACCTCAGCTGTTGAAATGTATCTGCAGTGCTCTGCCAAAGGATGTCTTCTTCAGAAGATACTAAAACACGTTAAAGAAAAATAAATATTCATAGAAGAAAAGGCTGGATTCAGGTCCAAAAGACTGTATACAAGATAAATATAGAACAGTTCAAAAATGCACAAACTGATCTATTTTTCAATTTCACTACCTCCAAAACACAACTTATATATGACTGTGTATAACGTAAATGCAACCTACTTATACAGTGGACCATACTTCAGTCCTGCCAAAATTTTCACACAGCTAGAAAACAGCTGTGCAGACATGAAACAAGGATAAAGCAACAGAGGATGAAAAAGGGCTGCATCTGCTTAATTTTGCTCTAAAAGGCAAGATTCCACAGAGACTGTCAAAACATGATTTGATTGGCAATTTCTAGAATACCTGATTTTTGATGAAAAATATCAGGAGGATCCACTCCGAGACCAAATAACCTTTGGAAATTCCCAAGCTAACCAGAACCTAGGCTTCAAACCAGAACCCTATTGCTTAAAAAAAATCATCCTTGAAATTCAATTATACATCAGATTATAAAAACCAGCAAGAGTACTTGATTGTTCAGCAAATACAATGCAGAACAATGGAGACGTCAACAGCAAAACAACAGTAAGGTTAAAAAGAAATATTTGTACCTACTTCCAATTTCATCAGCTTGACAATTTCAAAGATTTACAGCATTGAAACACAGGAAGATTTCCAACTTGCTTACAGGATTTGTGCTAGCATGTGGCTTTGAAAATCAGAGATTAAAAAGATCTAAAAATACTGAAATAAATGAGGCCTTATGAAGGATTCTGTGTTTGTAAGAACAACTTTATCAGCACATGATAAATGAAATCGCCAGCCAGTGACTTGTTTCCAGCAGAACCAGTAGAAAGTGCAAACCAGATTATTCATTTGATCCTAACACAGATGCAAAAAAGCATTTTGACCACTGTTCTCAGAACAACAGCTTTTATCTTTTGGAAGAAGCGCAACATCTCTTTAGACATCTTGTTTGTTATTAGAACTAGAAAAGTTGTTTCTTTTTCAGTCTTTTCCTAATATGCCCTCCCTTCATTTATTTATTAACTGGCAAACTATTGCCAGTTAATTTGCTTCATTTTTAAAGGCTGGAAATAAAACTGACACAATACCCCACTTAGTTTTCACTAATTCTCAAATTATGGGAGTAATTACCTTGTATCTTGTCGTTAAAGCACTTTTAGCAAACTAACAATAGCCTCATATCTCAATCTGAGATGTGACTCAATATGAGCTTTTTTTTTTTTAATAATCTTCCCCTTTTGCCAACTATTATGCATTTGGTATAGGCCAATACATACACTGCAAAAACACTTCTTGGTGCATATGCTGGGTGTTTACTAACAGAATGAAAGACAGAAAGGCAGGTAGAAAGTTAAGCAGAAAGGCAATCATATATTCCCATGGATTGCTTGGGCTCTAGCAAGTTTCCCCCAGCTTGTTTTATAAATGATGTTAATTAAAAGAAGGATACACTTTTGCTTTACCGACTGTACTTTGCAAAATTACCCTTATAAAACCACTAGGAACAGGAGAAGAAACATCAGCAGGTGGTAAAACAACAGTAACCAACTTGTGCAAAAGCACCGGGAACCCGGCACTACACAATCTGAAAGTTATGGCACGTGGAAAAAAGAAGTAAACAGTCTAATTTTATTAAACTGGTATTTAAACATCTATGAGTAAAATGACTGTTAGGAAGCTTTGATAAGATAGCTTCAGCATTAGCTCAAACTTTTAATTAAAATTAACCTAGACCTTTACAATTACCCAAATGTATTTATAATAATTGATGGAACTGAAACAAAGATGACCACTGATTTAAGAATAGATACTTAGTATGTTGTCTTTTTTCCTGAACCACTTCTTCAATAAAAACAGCATAATTAACCTCACCCTTTAGAAAATGTAATGATACAGAAAAATAATTTATAGAAAATATGAAGGCAGAACAGCTGAGTACAAACCTGCAATCTTGTTTCAAGGGCTTGGATGGTAAGCAAACCATTCTCTTGCAATCCTTCTGTGGCAGCAACATCATGTTTATAATTAATACCACTCTGAAAGAAAACAAAAACAAAAACAAAACCCTGAATGAATTAAAAAGCTGAAAGTAAGGTACAGGCTATTACACAGCATTATAAAATTCTTTGAGAAAATGCAGAAAACCAGCAGAACCATATGATGCCTTTTAAAAGAAAAATCTTATCTTCTGAAAGCAGTTAGAATTTGATAATACATAATGGAAAGACCCAATTATGGGAAGCTAATTAACAAGCACTATGGCCTTAATTATGAGCCCTTAGCCAAAAGGTAAGCATTGTAGCAAAACTGTTACATATGTGAAGCATTTTCAACTGCATTAATTTCCCAAAAGAACGTTGATACTATCAAGGAAGTAGATAATCTCTTCAGATAACTTATGATTACAGCAGGGAATATTGTATTTAAACTTTAGGGCATTTCACAGCACACATCCAATTTCACTTTGCACCAATACTTCAACGATTTGTTGAGGTTTTCTTAAATTAGTAGCTGAGGAAAGGCAAGCTCAACTTACTGCAAAGTCAACCGCTCCAAGGTCTGTTATTTTGAATGTATTTAACACGTCTGTATTGGAGTCATCCTTAAAAAGGAGTAACAGTTGCTCACTTCCAGAGCCAATAAAATCATCCACCAGAACACACTTCACTTTTTGGCATTTGGAAGCCACCTACAGTAGAAAAGGTTTTAAAATAGATTTATTTGAGATCTCATTTGCAGAAGCTTGCTTTTTATAAAGAGGCAGCTTATTCAGGTGTGTGGAACACAGTACTTTTAAGCTCTCACTCTCACCCCATCATTTAGAGCCTATGTAACTCTAGGAAAAACTAGCCATTTCTCTTTAAAGATCACTTTCCAGAATACAGGTTGCAGAGATGACCACTTTTCAGTGTACTCAAATGGCTGAATTTTTTTAGAACAGTAATACTTGCAGATCAGTTAAAGGCATTATAACTTTGGCAATGAGAAATATTTTTTGCTTCATTACACACTTAAATATGCTTGAACGATAAAGACAAATTTGTACAATAATGCTGACAACTAAGTAGGACAAATTTTTATTTCCTGAGTTACGTAAGTTTTCTTGTTAGGTTATTACAAAACCCTAGCACTTAACTTAGTCTCTCCTAACTTTAAGCAAGGCCTCTTCTTGTTATGAAACAACACTTTTTGTTACTAGGGAATGAGACGCAAAGGGCTTTTAAATTCCAATGAGTAGTTTATGCGTTGCAACAATATCGGTTTAACACAAATTATGTAGGCACACTCATAACTAACTGTCTTACAACTTCAAGTTCTCACGCTACTGCAGTTTTCAATCAGCAGAAGAAGCTTAGGCTCAGATTCATAAGTGTATTTTTAAGAGACAGAATCTCAGCTTCATTTTCAGATACACAAGCAAGCAACGAAAGCAAAACAATCTCATACTTTAGACTGGTTATTTTAACAGCAGCAACAATAACAAGCAAGAACTCTAACAAACTTAAATGAGCAGTTTTTCAGCTGCAGGAACGTCAAATAAGACGCCATAAACAAAAAAGATAGTGGTAAAATGGAGCTGTTTAAAGCCCCCAGTACCTGTAAGCTGTCTCTCCTCTGTACAACACAGCTATCCCCAGAGGCAAAAGACACAATAAATAGCAAATCATTGCTACTGGTTACAGCTGTTTTTACTGAACTTGGTTTCTCGAAAGGAAGCTCACAAACACCTTTAGGGAGACCATTTTGGAACCAAATAAGCTGGTTCTTGTGGGTTATGGCAACAAGTGATATTCGGAGCTGCTTTTTCAATCTCTCACTCTTGCAGACGTAGACAGAAGATACCACTCTGCTGTAAGCGTGGGGCATGAAGCACGTGGCAGTCAGCATTTTCTGTGTTTGAATTGCGTATCCAAAGAACTCGCTACCCCAGATGGCTCTGTCTGAAATGGAAAACTCATCTGCATCTTCACTCTCAGGCAGGCAAGCAGTTCTTACCCCTAAGACAACAGCGCCTTCACCTACAATTTCACCTGTCCACACAACTGAAGAAAGCTGAAAAGGAGCACTTTGAACCGTGCAGGTGTTGGAAGAGATGTAGAACAGCTTATTGGTGTGTCTCCACAGCACTGACGGGCCAGCAAACAACCTGATGTCTTCTTTCAGCTCATAATCCAATTTGAAATGAAAGGACTGCTCAAATTGATTTGAACTGTGAAGCAACAGTAAAATGTATTTGACATTATTCCGTTTTTTCTTTTTCATCAAAATGCAGGGAAGAATAATTCCTGTTCTGGAATCTGTTGTGCAGCTACAACAAATCATTTCAATTTTTGAGTGACTAGCATGCATGCTGAATGCTCCAGAAGACTTCTGAACAAATACCTTAGTGTCTCTGTTGAACACCATTCTTCTGACACATAAATTCATTGTTTTATCAGCTGCTCCCTCCACATGTTTTGGTTTTGTCAGCTGAAATACAAGGACTTCACCATTGTAGGACAAGAGTTGTTCTTGCTCACCCAGAAGCATCTTGATTTATCTTTATGTATATTCCTCTAGAAGAAAACCATATGTATCCCCAAGGATTATTTCTTTGTGAGAAACTTAATCTATCTGGATATTTTTCACCTACAAAAGCAAACAAGAAAAAAAGGATAAATTGTTCTGGGACTAGCTGAACTGATCTTTAAGAAAACCTATGCATTGTAAAACAATATCATGAGCGATTGAAGAATGAGGCCATATGTAGTTTAATGTCACAGATTAAAAATGAAGTTAAACAACTTTGTACTGAGAGATTTAGGTAACAGAAACGTTTCAGAAACACTTATTTGCCATAGTATGAATTCTCTGGTTATCAACAGTTGCACGGAATAATATAAATTGATAGAAACCAAACCAAACCGTACACTTGCAGTTTGTGTGATTGAATGGGAGGTGTCAACCCCATAAATATACTGAGCAGACTGGAAAGCAACGGTGCTTGAATTTCCAAATTTAAGAGCCTTGTCTCAGGTATAGTGCTTGTTAACAATTACAATTCATTTTTTTTATAGCCTCGCTAAGGAGAAGGCTCTCTGAAGAAGCGCACAGTCATTTTTCGGCTCCCTCCCTTCCTCCCTGTCCACAGAAGACCCCGAGGACCCCGAGCGAACCGCAGCCGTCTCACCAAGTTTCACTCAACTTTCGGGGTCCGCACAGACGCCCCTCATCCGGCTGAGGCAGCGTTACCGCCCGGCCCGGGCCACGTGAGCTCCTGTGTGAGAGAGCGGGCACGGACAGGGGTAGCGACCGCGGGCTCCACACCGGCGGGGCCTCACCCGGCTCCCGAGGCCTCTCCCGCGGCGCTTCCCGGCCGGGCGGGACCCTCCGAAGCTCCCGCCTCGGGGAGCACGACGGGAGCGCGGGCGGGGGCGGGGCCGCGGAGGGGGCGGGGCTTCGTTGCCGTTGGCCGACGTGAGGCCCCGCCCCCCCGGGGTCACGCGGCGCTCCGTCCCCCTTTCCCGCCGCCCCTCGCGCTCCCAGAGCCGCTTCAGAGCGGGTGGCGCGGGCGGACCCGCCGAACCATGGCTGAGGTGAGTCCCTGTACCCCTGTCCCCTCACTGTTGCCTTACTGCCCGCCTGCATGTAGCTGCTCGCGGCTGGTGGTCGGGCGGAGCGCGGCGGGTGGCCCGGCCCTGCCGCACAGGTGAGGGGCTGGGGCTGGGGCTGGGGCTGGGGTTGACTGGTCTCTTGGGGCCCTGGCCTTCCCTTCCTTCCACGGCCTCCCGTTCCTTGTTTCGTTTCAGCAGCGGCAGGACAAGGCGGCGCTGATCAGCGAGACCCGGCGGCGTTTCGAGGCGGAGTACCTGCCGGGTGAGCCGTGGGCGGGCGGCGGGCGGGGGATGCGGTCTCTGGGGCTTGTCCGCTGTCGCTTTTCCCCTCTGCGTGTCAGATGCCCCCTTTCCCAGGTGATTGGGTGTTCGTGCCTTTGCACAGAATCAGTTAGGTTGGAACAGACCTCCGACAACATCGAGGCTAACCTAAGACTGAGCACCCCCATGTCAACCAGTCCATGGCACTGAGTGCCACGTCTAGTCTTTATCCTTAAACACCTCCAGGGACGGTGACTCCACCACCTCCCTGGGCAGGCCATTCAAATATCTAATCATTTTTCTGTGAAGAATTTCTTCCAAATGTCCAACCTAATCCTCCTCTGATGCCGCTTAAGGTGTCCAAAGCTGTGGGTGGGGATGGTGCACAGTGGATTTCTGTGCTGGCTCTCAGTGCTGTCTGTCCTGCTGGGTTGTTGTCTTGGGCTTCAGGACCTGTCTGGGCAAAGCTCTGGGTCCTTTTGCCTTCCTTCTGTCTTCTGGCTGTAGAGTGGTGTCTGGGACACTGCTGTGCTTGGTGCTTTTTGGACATAAAACATGGAGGGGAAGTGGGAAGAGAAGAATTCTGTCCTCGATGAGTTTGTTAAGGGAAGAGTTGCTTTTCTGGAGTAACTTGCACTTGAAATCCATGCAGGCCATAATTAAGATCATGCTGATGTCCCTAAGATCATGCTTGTGTCATGCGGGGTGTCCTGCTCGGTTCTAAAGTGCAGGTGCATTTAAACTTGTAAATGAAGGCCGGGAGAGGGAAGAGTGGGGTAAGCCTGGTGGGTTTTCCTTTCATTTCAAGGTTGATTTGCATTGCTTATGATGGAAGAATATATAGTAGTAGAGTATGCTAACAATTGTAGTAAGCAGTACGTTTTATTATGACATTCTAGAGACTTTTCATTAAAGACACGCTTCTATCTAATTTTTAATGCAAATACAGTAAGAGTCCAGTAGTTGTGTTACCTGTATCTCCTTTAATATAAGCCTCAATCCTGCAAACACAGGCCTTGCTTGTATGTTTTTGATCAGAATTATTGAGGTTATGTCGCTTTCACTTTTACATGAGTTACATGTTTCTATGACTTCTTTGTAATTGGCCAGAACACTTTTTTGGGAAACCTTGAGGGTGGTACAACTTTGTCTCATATGGTTGCTCTACTAACTTTCATAAAGGAGTCTACTTTGGCCTTAGTTAGGGATGACTTATATTTCTGGCAAGATGACAAAATTACTAGAAAGTCTTGAAGCAGAGAGAGCTTCTATTACCATTTGAAATTCATATTTCCAAATGAATAAAGATGTCTTTGGAAAGCTCAGGCTCAGGTGAGTGGAGGATTGTCTTAAAGTCTAGATTCTTTTGGCTCTTAATCTTTTCAGTTAGTGTATATTTTCATATGATAGGTGATTCAACTTGCTTTATATTCTATTATCCCAGAGTCACACTCATAGTTACTTCAGAAAGCCTAGAACTGCTTTGGGACAGTTGCTGTGGAAAGGGAGCATTACCCTTTCAGTTGACCAATCCCTTAAAATTTTGGAATTCCGTAAGTTTCTCTAATTGTGATGAAACCTCTGTTGGGCTGGTTGATACAGCCATTAAAATAATTGAATACTGTTGCAAGGTAAGCCCTAATCCTATCTGTAGTGTTTTGAACACGTTTTTCTCAGTAAGCCCATTTTTGGGTCATGGTTTAGGGCTCTTAGCCCTTTCAAGCAAATAGGATTAGGACTTTTTCAAGTTTATGTTCTTAAGATTCTGCCTGAAATTAAGGAATTCCAGAAGCAAAGTAACATTGTTGCACTACTTCCAAGTGAGCAAAACACAGGATTTCAGTTTTATAGTGGTCCTTCAGCCTTTACTGTGTGTTCTTAAATGTATTCTTTTATGCTTCTTAGTCAAAAGGAACATGGAGGTGCATGTATGCAGACACCCCCAAACCTGTGAGTTTGTGATGTAAGGGTACAAATGATTGCTTCATATCTAGGAGTTTTAATCTGCTTTCAAAACTAAGGGCATGTTTAGGCTACACTGAGAACCTGATCATTCCTGTGGAAGTTTAGAGTGGTCATAGAATTGTGGACCTCTACAGAGCAAACTTTATTCCATTTACAGGTGAGCTGCAGGTGTTAAAGGTTTGAGTAAAGTTGTGTTTCTGGAGGTTGCAACTGTCCTTGTTTCATTTTCCCTCCGAGGAAAATAGTGTAACTGGTTATTCTAGGAACTTGGTGATTCTGATCATCAAATATGGTGAAGTAATTATTCCACATTCTGTAACTCATAGTTACTGGTTTCCCCCTGCACTCTCTCATGCAGGAAGAATTGGTAATGGTCACAAATGCTATGATGGCCTTACAGTAATATTTATTTTTGTTGTGAAATGAAAACTTAGGGGGCCATTGAAATCACTTATTGGCAGAATACTACTTTTACATTGAAGTAGGATCTACAAAACTGTGTTATTATGTAGCTGATTCAGAAAAGTCTAATATTCCGACATGTGTTGAATGTTATAGTTTGATATTTCACATAAAAGTTAAACCAAATAATATGCTTTGACCTTGATAATTTTCAAGGTAGGATGGGAAGAGTTTTGTTCAGCAGTTGAAAGCACCATAAATCTATTTTTTGAATTATACAGTTGTTTCATTTATGTGACTAAATCAGAAAACTGTTTTGATAGTTGGATATAGAGTGTCAGAGAACCTTACTGGCTCATTTCTCCAAAGCTCGCACGAGAACTTTCTTGCTGAAGTTCTTGAGCAAATTTGGCCACTCAGGGATTCTAGAAGGAGTTTTGCCACTATTGGATCTTATCTGCAAAGCAGTGTTTAATATTAACTGGGATCTTGTGGTGTTTTTTTTTCTTTTCATTTAACTTTTTAGCTGGGTTCCAAAGACAACTTCAGTTCTTGTGAGGAATTTACGTCCCATTAAATTAAAACTCTTGCATTTAAAAGGCATATTTCCAATAGTAAAAAGTTCCTTTCAGTCCAATAGACTAACAAACACTGTCTGATGTGGTTGGTAGACGGCACTTTGTCTTCACAGTTTTTGGACCTAATTTCTGTTTTGTCTGTTTGGATTCTTTGTGAGAGTTGGTGATGTAAATGATTCTGGTAGTGAAAGGAACAATGAAAACAAAAGATTATTTTCTAGTACTGACTGGTACTAACAGTGTTTTCTAGCAAACAGTCATGTCTTTTTCTATAGTGAATTTTCATTCCTTAGAGGATTTCTAAAATTAGCTTCTATATCTGGGCTATTACTTTCCATTTTAATGTTACAGTGGAAATTATTTATAATCAAATCTTGTTAGATTTTTCCAGTCAACAGGTTTTCTTTGCATTTGCTTTTGCATATTTACCATTTCTAATTGCCTGTATTTCCTGTCATCCCCATTTACATCCTTTTACTTTCTCCTATAGGCAAAGCTTAATTTCCAGAAAAAGATTTTGCAAGAGAAGTTTCCCACTCCAATTTAAAGAATTAAATTTCATCATGCCTTTCTTTAAACCAGTACCAAATGGGTTTTGTTAATCATATTGCCTGATTGCAAATAAAATTTTAGACATATGGTGCATCCTTAAAAAAACCCCCGTGATAGGACTATTGTAAAAGACTCTTGAAGTAATGTTTTGCATACCTGCTTATGTGTTTTAATGCTCTGAAAAACATGTTTTCCCTGGTTCTTGGCTTTAAGGCTGAGGACGGTGGAAGAATGAGATAGGAAACATACTTTTCTAAAAAGCTCTGTGATATTAATGACTGAGCCTTCTATTAAAAATAGTCTCTATTGTCACTGAAAGTGTTCAGTTTTGCTAAAAGTTTATCTCATCTTGTGGAGGCAGATATTTGTTTATTGAAGTTTGTTATTGAAATCATTCTTTATTGAACTGAAATAATTGTTTTCTTTATCCCTGTCCCTTTATGGCTACTGACCTTCTTAAATTATTTTCAGTCTTGCTGATTTCCTCATCTAGCAATTGAAGGCACATACCTGAATTGTTATAGTACTTAGCTTAATGTTTGGCATCAACAAGCCAATTAAAATGGGTTTCCTTTTTCTAGCCAAGGTCAGAGTAATAATTATGACCATTTCAGACTGACAATTCTTGGCTGAGATGGCTTTAAGGCAGTAGTTAAATTGAGAGTCTTTGTGTGATGGAACACTTGACATACTTTTCAAAGTTGCTTTTTTCCCATGCTTTGTACAATGAAGTGTTGGGAGTTTTTCTCTATTCAAAGGCATGAAGCTGCTATCCCTGCTTAGTTTTATGTGTCTTGTTCTTTTCTTTTCTAGATAAGAGCTTGTTCTGAAGGGAGGAGTCATTCAGGTTGTGAATTCTGAACTTCTCTGGATTAATTTAGTGCAGGATTTAGCTGTGCTGCCTGGTTTTGAGTCTTGTCTTGTAGTCTTTCTTCTATATTCCTGGTGAATATTCTCAAATTTGTATAA